GGGGGGGGGGGGGGGGGAGGGGGGGGGGGGGGGGGGTTCTCTGGGGGGCCTGGGGGCTCCAGGAAGGCAGGAGGGCACGGGGAGGGCTTGGCTTGGGCCACAGGCCTGGCGGGGTCAGCCATCAGGGGCGTGTCCGATTTTCCAGTCTGTTGAGAAATACCGCGAGAAGAATCTTCAGGGTGGGGCTGGGCCCAGGCCTGGGGGGCAGACGGGGAGGAGCGGAAGAGGCCCTCCTAATGCTTCTCTGCTTGGCTGACTTTCAGGGCGCTGATGACGCCATTGATGTTTTCTTCTGGTACCTGCGAGGGGTGGGAAGCAGACACCCGTGAGGCCCTGGAGCCGGGCCTGCCCTGCCTGGGGGCCGGTGCCAGACACTCACCAGTGCGTGGTCGAACTTGAAGGTACTGATGTAGTAAGCGGGGATGTCAGCAGCAGCTAAGGGCTCGGAGATCTGGGCCACGATGCCGCACTCATCTGGGGACAGAGGCGGGGAACCACGTTTAGCGTCCTCCCCACCCGGCCACCCAGCACAGCCTTGGCCTCTCCCCTCCCTCTGCTGGCAGTGCCCGCCCTGTACCCGCAAGCTTCCCAGAGACTCCCCGCCCCTCCATCCAGCAGGCTTCTCTGATCTCTTTGGCCAGCAGTGAGCTTTCCATCCTCAGGGCTCCACAGAAGCCACTTCTGTCTAACTGTGACCACCCTCTGCCTGTTTCCCGTGCCTCGTAGTTTGGACTCATCTTCCTGGCCATCTTGCGAGTTCCCTAAACAGAGCTGGAGGTAGCGTGGCGATAAGAGGACGTGGGTTCAGGCCCTCTTTTTTGTCGCCCTTTTCTAGCCAGATGACGTGGCCAAGTCACTTCCTCTCTCTGAGCCTCAGTTTCCTCATTGGAGTCCCCACTGGGTAAAGGTCCCTGCCTGTCCTAAAGGCAGTGTCAGGCATCTGATCACGAGGAATGCCATTTCCTTCTCCTTCTGGATCTCCAAAGCAGTGGCCTTCTGGCATCCTCCAAACCTCAGCCAATAAGGTGGTCTTTGGGTTGCCTGGGGATGGTTCTCCCCTCTCCTCCACCCTCCTCCCCGCTTTGAAGGCACCATGCAAAGCTTCCTCCTACAGGAAGACCTCCAGGATCTGAGGACCACTCTTCTCTCCATCAGCACAACCCCTCAAAGCTACTGTTCTGATTCTGGCGATGATGCATTTCCCCAGCGCTGTCCCAGTTGGGTGGGAGAGTGCAGATCTGGCCACCAGCTCCCCATGGGATTCTGGGGCCAGAGCCTGGGCATCATCAACCTGGGCTTCACCCTTCCCCCACCCCCAGCCTCCCCGGCACCCTTTCACTCCCCGGCCCTGGTCCTGCTTGTCAGCCCACCCTGGGACCTAGACATGACCCTGCAGGTCTCTCAAGCTCCTGCTTTCTGCTTGGTCTCCCGGGGCTCCTGGCTGGACCCATGGGCCCCTTTGGTGGCTGTACAGGCCTCGTGCTTGCACTTCTGGTGACCGTCTGTGCTGCTACGTGGTGGAGACCAGTTGTGTCCTAAGATTCTTTAGCTACAGACACATTCATTTTCAGTTCTGTCAAGGCGGAGACGGGGGCGGGTAGGAGATTAGGGTCTAGAATGGTGCCTTTCAAACCGTGGGTGGTGACCCATTTGGGACATCAATTTAGAAGGCTGGTAACCAGTGTTTCATAAAATGACAACAGAAAAGGGAGGGGCAGACAGCTCAGCACCAGAGCGAGTGCAGTTTTGTGAAACCGTAGAATTGTTTGTGTATGTGTGTGCTGGGCTGTGATGGAAAACGTATTTCCTGCAAACCGTGGTCTAAAACATATGGAATTCGCCAGTCTAGAATCTTTCAGATTCTCAAGTTATTTTTCTTGCAGGGCTATTTATAGCTATTAGCCTGGCGCTAAAACCCTCCACATCCCGGGAAGGTAGATCCAGCTGCTGCCTGCTAGATCCAGCTGCTGCCTGCTAGATCCAGCTGCTGCCTGCTAGATCACACACTGTGTCCCCTGCCTGTGAGGCCACTCAAAACAGCCCAGGGCAACTGCAGATGGTAAGACGATTCAAGTTTCATCTACTATCCCAATGAGGTACCACCTCACACGGGTCAGAATGGCCATCACTAAAAAATCTACAAATAACAAATGCTGGAGAGGGTGGGGAAAAAAGGGAACCCTCCCACACGGCTGGTGCCGCCACTATGAAAAACAGTATGGAGGTTCCTCAAAAAACTAAAAATACATTTGCCATATGATCCAGCAATCCGACTCCTGGGCATGTACCCAGACAAAACTATAATTCGAAAAGATACATGCACCCCTATGTTCATAGCAGTGCTATTCACAATAGCCAAGACATGGAAACAACCTAAATGTCCACTGCCAGATGAATGGATAAAGAAGATGTGGTACATATATACAATGGACTACTACTCAGCCATAAAAAAGAATGAAATAATGCCCTTTGCAGCAACATGGATGGACCTAGAGATAATCATACTAAGCGAAGTAAGTCAGACAGAGAAAGACAAATAGCATGTGATATCACTTATATGTGGAATCTAAAATATGGCACAAACGAACCTATCTACGAAACAGAAACAGACTCTCAGACATCGAGATCAGACTTGTGGTTGCCAAGGGGGAGGGGGCTGGAGGAGGGACGGAGTGGGAGGTTCGGGTTAGCAGATGCACACTATTACATACAGAATGGATAAACAACAAGGTCCTACTGCAGAGCACAGCGAACTATATTCAATACCCTGTGATAAACTAAAATGGGAAAGAATGTGAAAAAGAATACAAATATACGTATATATAACTGAATCGCTTTGCTGTACAGCAGAAATGAACGTAACGTTGTAAATCAACTAAAGATAAACTGACATGCACAACTTCCTGCTTCTCATCCGAGTCTCCAGTGATGCCTGCCCCTTTGCCTGTGATGACCTAGTGAGGCTCTTTTCCACTGTTTCTACTGTGGAGAGGCACCGCTGCGTCACACCCACCTCTGCTGGTGCTGCCCTCTCCTCCCCGTCAGCCAGGTTAACATCCACCCATCACCTCTGGGGCCACCTCCTCTGGGAAGCCTTCCCTTCCTCAACCCTCTCCAAGCCTTACATGTGATAGTGACAGCAACTGCTCCTTGCTGAGCACTCGGTGTAACTGACACATCATGGAGGGCTTCGCACCACCCTGAAGCAGGATCTACCATCATCCTTGTTTTACAGACTAGGAAACTGAGGCTCAGAGGTTAAGCAACCTGCCCAAGGTCACCCTGGTTTCCTTCAGCCTCCTTCACTGGCGAACTTGCCTCTAGGCTACTGGGTCTCCATATCCCCACGGCCCCAAACTGGGCAGCAAACGTGGGTGGGAGAAATGCTGGGGTCTGTGGAGAAGGTGGCCCCGAGAGACAGGCTGGAGCCCAGGGTTGGACCAGGAGCCTTCAGTGTACATTTCCTAGCACTGCAGAAAGCAGCCTACTGTTCTGCCCCTGGGATGGCTCTGGCTTTGGCCTTGATGTGAGCAAAGTTAGGGGGTGCTGTCCCGTCCTGCTAGTTACTGTCTATCTGTGACCTTGCCCAGAGAAAGCCACAGGCAGGTGGCAGAACCGGGCTCCCTCTCCGACCTGTGGCCCTCAGGTCAAAATGCCCTGCCACCTTCATGTCCCGTCCCAGAAGCAGAGCCCCCTGGGCTGACCCCACGGCCCCTGGAGCAGTCTGAGCTTTATCTGGAACATTCTGCACTCTGTCTATGGGAAATCAGGATTTACTGATCCCATCAGGGCCAGCTGAGGGGCACTCCCCGAAACAAACGTCCTGTGATTTACCAAGAGCCTCTTCTGGGTTCAAGGTCTTGGGTCTGACAAGTCTAGCCCAAAGAAATCATGTCTCATCAAGACAAGGCGCGCTGCAGTCATCACAATGGGGCCAGCAGCCTACACTCAGCGCCGAGAGAATCGGTACCGTGTGGCCCTTCTAACCGAGGGGTCTGAGACCCGTGGCCCCTTGGAATATGCTGATGGGAAAAACTGTCTACCAAAGACAGTTTGGACAATTGTGGAAACTGAAGCTAGACTGAGTCTTGGGGGATTCCTGTGAATTTTCTCTTGGGGGATCAGGTCACTGTGATTGCACAGGGAAAAGGGTGAGGGGCTGGGATGTCTGAGTTTTACTGTGAGCTGTTTGGCAATTGTGTTAAAAAAAAAAAAAACCTCATTAAAAATGACAACAGTCATTCCCTGTCAACAGTGGGACTAAGGAGAGATGTTTTTTTCCTCTTCTATTTTTATCATGTTCCCAATATTCTAATAAGAAGCAGGTTTTAATTTTTCACTGGGGAGGGGACAGAGAAGAGTGCTTTGCTTGAAGCTGCTCTTCCGTCCTCCGAGGCCAATGCCTCCCGTCACTCACTGGACAAGGGACCGCGTGGGCTGTGGGGACCTCAGTCTCCCTATCTATACCAGGGGTACAGATGCATGGCACTCGGCAATGCCGGCCCCGGCCCCCCAGGGCTCACCAAATCCTAGGGGCTGTCCTCCAATCCGCACCATCTTCCAGAGCTCTCCAGATGCGCTCGTGAACAACAAATTACTAGGAAACCTTGAAAGGGAGCGAGCGATGTTAATCCTCAGATATTAACGGTGCTCCCTCTGCCAGCCCTCCCTGGAGCATTCCCTGTCCTTGGGCACTGATGTAGGGCCAGAGCAAGGGGGTGTCTGGCCTGAGCTCAGGGGCCCCAAGGACTCTCCCAAGCCGTCAGCGCACTCACTCTGCACCTTCCTTGTCTGGGGGTGGGTAGGGGGAGCAGGAAGGCAAGGCTGGGCAGGGAACCCGTCCCCGCCACCCCCCCCCCAAGCTCCAGACGGGGGTGGGGGAGTGAGGGACAAACAGCACTGGATGGCGCTGGATGACCTGGGGCCTTTGCCTCTGAGTGGCCTGTCATCTGTGAGCCGGGGCCACTCACCCGCAATGAAGGGTCGGGGTAGGGACGTATGAGGACCAAGTGGGTGATAAGCCCGTCACAAGGCTCCAGGCCGGGGCCCGGCTCACCTCTGCTGGGTCTGCACGTCCATCACCAGCGAGATGTAGCCCTCGATGAGGGAGAAGGAAAAGAAGCGGATGTGGCCACAGTCATCGCCGGCCGCCACGGGGTCCTTCACTCTGGGGGCCGGGGCAGCTGGTGAGGGCTGGAGTGGGGCCCCCGCCGCAGCCCAAGCTCCATCAGGCCCCCCGCCCCGCCCATCAGCCTAGGGGTGCTGGGGAGAGCACGGGCCAAGTCCTGGCTCTGATCCTGCCTTGCTGGCGGACCCTGAGGCACTGCCTGCATCGGTCTCTGCATCTGTGAGGTGTGGACGATTCCACGGCGTATCCACAGAGATGAGCACCGCACTTCACATTTCTGGAGACCCATCCCGCCCTCGGCACAGGCTACACTTGCCCCTTCCTGGGGGGTGCTTCTCGGTCCCTGTGACGGCCCACATGTCAGGGCACAGTCTATGGTCACTGTCGGCTCACTGGCCCCTGGCCCCGCTCCACTTGGTGTTGGCCAAAACTTACAATCTGCCCTGAGGAAAAATGCAAAGCTGTCGTCCACCAAATGAAAAAACCTGAGTTCCCAGCTCTTCAAATGACTGGGCTTGCCCTAGGAGCTCAGGTGACAGTGGGGTGTTTATTATATCCACATGTGGGCCTAGGGCTTCACCAAGGAACGCCATTTTCCCCTCTTAGAATGGGGATCTGGGGTACAGCCATGTCTTGCTTCTCAAACGAGCTCCCAGGGCAGGTCTGTGCCTCCCCCCTCAGACTGGGGCTACTAGACAGAGCCGTGTCTCCCCTTGGCCACCCTGCAGCCCCTTGCACCCGAGGAGGCCCTACCCGTTGGAGTAGAACATGACATCCATGAGGAGTGTGGCAACAGCAGGCAGTGTGTCCGGGTCCAGGCTGGTGACACAGAACCTGTTGCTCGGGCTGGACAGTGGGTGGATGACGGGCCTCTGGACTGTGAGAGCACAAAGGCAAGGGGCGCTGAGGCCGGGGGGAGAGGAGCATCGTGGGGCAGGAGAGGGCCCAGGAAGAGGGGTGGGGCCAGCCAGCAGCTGTTCTGGGGAGGCCGGCTGCAGGCCCTGCAAGACCTGGCCCCTGTCGCTTCTCCAGCCTCCAGCCCCACCCCCAGGCCCCCGCACATGCCATGCCGCCTGCCTGGAACGCCCTTCCCAACCTTCACCACCGGGTTTAGCTCCTACTTGTGCTCCAAGCTTCAGCTTGAGAGTCACTGCCTCTGGGAGGCCTGGCCTGACAGCCTGGACTGGGTCAGAAGTGGTCTTGGCCATTGCTGCCTGCATCCACATCCACTGCCCTGGCTAGACCTTGGGAACAGAGTCTGATCAGGACTGTTGTACCGTGTTATGCCTGGCCCTCAACTGATGCTCTGAGAATGGGGCTGCCCTGGGGCAGGACCTGGTAATTTCTTGAGGTCTCTCTGCACAACCCTCCCCCATCCCCCAACTCACCTATCTTGGGCTTCACGAAGCCGTTGGTGATGCCGAGGTTCTCGGCTGCCACTGTCTCGCCATTGACGACCCGCAGGATGGTGAACTCTGATGATAAGGTGTGGGTAACGAAGGGCAGGTCCCGCTCACGCACCTGGGGACGGGGAGTCAAAGAGTGAGTGTACCATGGTCCCTGGATGGAGTGGGCCTGGGGTCACCAGCCCCTTCACTCTGAGATTCTGTCCCCAGAACGAGCTTCCCCTGTCCTTGCCTCCCGCTGTCCTGGTTGGGGACGGGAGCCTGGACCAGGGGCACATGCCTCCCCAGGGGCAGCAGGGAGGATGCAGAGGGGAGAAGACACCGTGCCGAGGGCCAGGAGGTGCAGGTCCCCTCCCCCACTCCCTCTTGTGTGTGGTGGCCACACCTGTCCCTGGCCTGGGAGGACTCTCCAGGGTGGCCACGCCCTATGGGAGAGAGCATGAATAACACGGTAGCCAGGAAATACCGCTGGCTCCACGGCCAGACACACTTGCCACCCCAGGGGAGGGGTATGGAATTGGGGGAGCCAGACATCCAGCTAGGAGGGCATCCCGCCCACACGCGCCCCCAGCCCTCACTTCCTGGCCTCCAGCTTAAACCCAGCATGGTCCACACAAAGGACAGGCAGTGGGTGGGGCTAGAGGCTAGCCAGGGCCATGCTGACACTGGACTGAGGACCCTAAGGTACCCTTGACCTCTCTCTGAGCTGATCACGAAACGGCGGGGAGAGGCACAAACTTTGTAGACCACATCCGAGGGGGTGCCCATGTTGCCTGGGCGTGGGCTGCCGCTCGCTCACCAAGATGAAGTCCGTCTGGTAGGTGGACAGCATGAACACAGAGATGTTCTGATCGGCCAGCGGGGCGATGACCGACTTGGCGATCTTGGTCACACCGATGGGCTGGGAGCTGGAGAAGCTGCCACCACCCGACACCACGTTGAGGGCCAGCCAGGTGGCGTCGGCCACACTCAGGTGTTCCGAGGAGGGCAGCTCTGGAGGGGGACACAGAAGCCCGGCTTATGACTGATGGGCCCCAGCTGGTGACCTCGGCCAGCCCGCCCTCTGGGCCTTAGCGCCCTCATCTGTCAAAGGAGGCTGAGATCGTCCTTAAAGGTCCCATCCTGGGAGGACTGAGCAGGGAAGGCTCTCAGAGGACTCTGGATGTGCCAGGCAGCTCAGCAGGGCAGGGACCATGGGAACAAGGGGTTTAATCTGTGCTGGGCCTCAGTTTTCCCAGCTGTGAAGTGATGAGTACTCAGCAGTAACAGTTTTGTTATTTCTGGTTTTCACTTCCTTTCTGGGTACCAGGTGCTACCATCACCACCTTATACTGGTGGACCGGGTCCCATGGTTTTCAAACTGGGTTCCCAGGAACCTCCCAGGGGCTGGGGGGTAGAGGGGAGGCCAGGAGAAGACAGGGTGCGGGGGGGCCTGGGATTTTTCTCCCTGCTTCAATTAGACCTGTACTTCAGGCTCCTCTGGAAGCACATTCAGCTCCAGAAGGCCTCCTGAGGTTGCCACCTTCCAGTGGGCAGTGACTGCCACCCAAGTCCCTCCTGAGAGCCTGGGGATCCTGGGGGCGGGGGCACCGGCAGGGGCAGGGTGGGGGAGGTTCGGAGCGGCAGTGATCGCCCAGTCTCCTTGACTAGCTCACAAAGACCATCCTTCCACCCCGTCTTGCAGAAAGAGTACCCAGGGGAGGCTGTGCACGGGACATGGTACACACATGTGCATGGCTGCATGGACAGGCAGCCACAGAACGGAGCACAGGTTGCAACATGGAACTCTCCACGCATCACGGTTGCCTGCTCGAACCCACCCCATACCAGAACTGTTATTTCACCCCATACATGTGACAAACCAGAGCTCTGAGGGGCTGGTGACTTACCCAAGATCACTTAGACAGGGAATAACAGAGCCAGGATTCAAACCCAGATCTGACTTATAAACAGACCCTTATGCTCTATGCTGGGCACCACATGGGAAGAAGGGCCAGGTCCCTAACAAGGGGGCCGCTAAGAGGAGGGGCCTGGACACTGGTGAGTTAAGGGGGCTGTGATGATCATGATGCTGCCCGAGGGAAGCTGGGCTGGGCTGTGCTGGCCTCAGCAAGATGGCTCCGGAAGCCTCACCCAGGCTCCTACCTGCCCAGCTAAGGTCGTCATGGCAACCACAGCCTACAGAGCCCATTGGCCCTGCTGGCTGAGAGGGGCCAGTCCTCTGCCAGGCTGGCTGGAGAGGTAGGCTGCTTCCCAGAGAAGGGAAGGGGTTTGGGAGTGGGGGAGGCAGGAGGAAAGCCTGATCGCAGGCTTCCACATCTAGTCTCTTCACTTGTCATCTGGGGTGTCAGAAGAGAGACTTCTCAGCCCCAGGACCGCCAGAGGAAACACGCTCCCCAGAACTGAGTGTCCCAGTTCAATTCTGAAATTCCAAGGGGTCTGGAACTGGCCATGGAGGGGATTTCCTGGGGGCAGTGTTGTGAGCCCCCAACCCTGCCATCTTAAGCAAAGACAGCCCCAGGAGCCACCGAAGGCCAGGGTGCCTTGATGGGCTGTCATCTGAAGCACCATTTTAATATACTAATAAATAAAATATTAATAAATATACTTAATAGAAGATTTTAATTTCACTTTTCATTAGGGCAGAACCCCAAAAGCCTTCTTAGGAAAATTCTGGAGGGGTCCTTTCCATCACCGCATGCTAACACATCAGGACCATGTCAGCTTTTGTGAACCTGCCTCTGCCTGCCTGTTCCAAGCTCCTCACAACTCAAAACTGCCCAGTGGCTTTCCACGTTCTCTGGAGTAAAAGCCAAAGTCCTCGTGCCGCTGGGAACCAGCATTGCCCCAGAGGGCTTTCTGGGATGATAGATATGGTCTATACCTACACCGTCCAAAGCCACTTACCCCATGTGGCAACGGAGCACTTGAAATGTGGTCAGTGCTACAGAAGAAATACAATTTTAAGTTGTATTTAATTTTGGTTCCTTTAAATTACCATGGCCGCGTGGAGTGAGCGGCTAGTTCAAGTCTACAATTGGCCTCACTAGCATGCCAGCGCCCTGGGGCGATTGTCTCCATCGGCTTTGTTTTCTGCTATTCTCAGCGCCTGAGAGGCACACGGAGGCTCCAAAAGAATGGATGAGGAGGGATGTGGCAGCTGTCCCTGCCCCTCTGCTCTGCCCAGGCCCCTGTTCCTACCCATCGACCTTCTCTGCTCCCCCCGCCCCCCCCCACCCCAGCTCAGTCTCTGTGGTCAGGGCTTGGTCACATGCCAGACCCCAGGTGGAGGGTGGCCTTCGACATCATCCCACGCTCCTATACCCGGCTTCCCAGGATCAGGCAGAGGGCCCGGGGGAGCCAGTGTCATCCCCAGACACTGCCAACTTCTCTGAATTCTTAGTCCAGCAGTGCAGAACGCTGTCCATTTGCTTATAGATCTGGCTCAGAAGTCAGTCCCTGCCCCATTTCACAGAATAGGAAACTGAGGCGCAGAGAGGGAAGCTGACTGGCTCAAGGTCACGGTGCAGTAAATGGGGAGGGCACCTCATTCTGGCACCGTGGCACGTCTGTCCAGACCCGCCCCGCCACCAGCCCGTGGTGGGGTGTCGCGAAAACCCCTCTTGCAGGGATTAGCTTCAGGACTGTAAAGTTGCGGGGGGTGTCCGGGCAGCTGAGGTCCCAATGTCCCAGTTCTGACACCGTGGTTCCACTGGCCCTGTAAGGCCTTCACCTGGCAGGTGGAGCCTCTGCTACCCCAGCCTCAGGCCTGCCCTCTGGCCCCCACCTGAGTTCCACAATCCACTGGGGCCTGATCTTTAGCAGTGGGGTCCTCGGCGAGCACATGAGGGTGGTGGCAAAAAACACAGGCTTTGGGCTCAGACAGTGACAAACTCTAACCCTGGCTCCGTCCTCTGCAGCGGAGGCTGCTGGGAAGCTGCTGCTGATACAATGGCGAAGGCCATTCCCTCCAAGTCCACAAAGCGCTGGGGTATGTGCATTTTTAGGGGGTGCTAGGGTACCAAGGCTCTGCTCCGAGGAGTCTCTCAGCGGGTTTGGACAGGTCCTGCCGGGAAACGCAGGCCTGAGGCCGACTGGAAATGGGGGCAGAAGTGGGCGGGTGGGGGATGGCGGGCAGCCTGCAGGCTGCCACTGCCCAGAGGATTTCAGCTCAATCCAAATGCTACTCAGAGTTTGGGCGGCCGGTGAGTGGGGGTGGGTCCCGGCTCTCAGTCCTGGATGGAACCCACTGAGGTGCTTCAAGCAGCAGGCCTGGACTGAGAGGGAGGTCAGCCCCGGGTCAGTGGTCACCTCTCTGAAGCTTCCAGAAGGGTGAGCTTTGTCAGAGCAGCAAAGCAGCTGGAGACCACAGTGCTCGCTGCTTCTGGCCCCAGGGACCCCAAATGCTGCCCTGGCACTCCGAGGGTGAGGGAAGGCCTGCCTGGTCCCATCGGCACCCAGGCCAAGCCTTAGGGTGCCCGAGGTGCCACTGCGGGGCTGGGGGCTGGGTCACCAGGAGCTGCCAGGAGGGAGCCAGCTTGCTCTCCCCTAGAGGAAAGGTAGACACATCCCAAGACTGAAACGGATTATTAATACTGTCACTGCCCATCATCCAAGACCCTAAAGATAGCCTATCAGAGCTGAGGACGCTCCCTGGCGGATCTCTGAGGGCGCTTGCCACCTCCCAGAAAGCAAGTCGGCAGCTCTGTTGCTGGTAGCCCACCCCACCTCCCCAGGAGTCCCCCATTTCCGGCTGCAGGACCTGCGGTTCCCTGTGCTAAGTGGTCACGTCCTCTGCACAGTTTGTCAGGCTTCTCCCACCCTGCCTGCAGCAGGGTCAGGGGTCCTGGGGTCAGGTGGGCAGGTTGTGTCCTGGCTGTGTGACTCTGAATGAAATCACCACCTCTTGGTTTCTTAGTTTTCAAATTTTGGGCTGATGAAATCAGGATAGACTCCAGAAGATGCTTGGAGGATTAAATGGGATAATCCCCATCAAGCGCATAGCTAAGTGCCTGGCGTCCGAGGGCTTGCCAAGTGCCAGAGCCTTTCTGTTATAATGCTGCTGCTGGGAGTTTTGTTGGTTTCTGGATAGAAGTTGGGGAAAAATATATCAAGAGTTTAAACATGTACAGTTTCACTGTAAAGGAGTAGTTACACATGGGACAAAGAAAAAGTTATGGGTATGAACGTTCAACCCAAAAGGATTTAAGACAAAGACCTGGGAGCTACCAAAAAGTCAACGCCAGGGCCAGGTAGACGAACCACAGTTCATCTGTGACAGAATACTATGCATCTGTTTAAAAAACAGGTTTTCCAGCTATGAAACACATTTTCCAATCATGAAGGAAATCAGAATATAAAATTTATGGTAGGTATTAATTATGCAATTAATGTCTCATTCTGTAGGTGTGGTAAGTAGGAGAGGGCTTTTATTCTTAGCTGATACAGGCTCAGGTATTCAGGGTGAGCTGTCCTGAGGTCTTAGTTTCAAGTGGTCCATTAAATAATAAATGTATGTGTGCACTGTTTATGGACAAGAAGTGCAAACAGTTGTCCTCAAAGGTGACCAGCCGGCAAGTCTAGTTTCAGGTGGAGGGAACAGGGGTGTTAATTGTAGGCTCTCAACGGTTGTGCAAGTCTGAAAACTGTCAAAATATAAAGAGTATCGGGAAAACACACTTTTGAAGGCTATCTGATACTGGGAAATTATACGGAGTGGAATGAAAAGATAAGAAGCATATACACTACAGGTCAACACGGCGAAATATCCACACCTGGGGGTATAGAATATGGAGACCTCGTGGGAAGGACTTTGCCAGCCCTGGAGAGGTCGAGGGAAGGGGGTGGGTGGGCGGGAGCTGGGGTGTCATGGGAATGATGCGGGGGACTCTCCAGGGAAGCAGCCCTCCCTGCAGCAGGCACCCCATCCTCAAGGTCTACCCCTCCTCCCATCCTGGCAGATGTAATCTCAGCTCCAGGCTGAGCTGCCAGGCTGTTATTTTACACAATGCGGGAGATGCTCCAAAGTCAGGTGTGCATCATCCCCCATCAGTGCTCACCGGGAGGGAGGGGTCGGCTTCAGGGGACAGTTAAGAACTGGCCCCGACTGGGATCCGAGCTCCTTAACTGACCTGGACCTCGTGCAGAGGGGACCCCTGCTGGGGGTATTACTGAATTAGTAAATTAGGAGCTCAGAGCTAGGCGGGAGATGCAGGGAGTGCTGATGGGCACTGCACTGTTTGCCCTGGTGGACATGCAAAGTGGAGGTGGCACGTGACTCCCTGATGCACGTCATATGGCCACACGCACACCTTACAAAACTGGGAGGGAGGGAAGGAGGTGACCCTGTGTTAGGGACGAGGCCACGGAGGCCCCAGGTCAGTGAGTAACTTGCCCAGAAGGTAGCAGAGGCTGGACAGAACCTGGGTCTTCCCCTCAGCCATGGGTGAGGCCAGGAGTTACTTCTCGACATCCTCCTCCTTCCATCTTTCGACCAATCATGGCACCAAGCCCCAAGTGTGCTACAGATCACACTGACACACATAAGGGGACTGTGACAGGTGGGGGGGCCCCCCGATGTGCACTGGGCCCCTCTAACTGCAAACTTGGGATTCTGCTCACTACCCAGAGGTCAGGGCAGGCGCTACTGCTCCTGTTATTTTGGGTCCCTGAGAACACCTAGCATTGCACAAAGTAAGTGCTCATTAAATATGTAAAAGCTCAAAATACGCACAAGCACCTCCCTTCTGTTGGCCACACAGACACACAGCACCCATTTGAGCCAAGAACCTCTAAAATTCCACTACGAACAAGGAGCTGTCTGGTTAATGTCACTGACAATCGCCCCTCCCTCCCAGGAAAGGTCCAGCATCTTACGTACAAGTGAATCGCAGACAGCTGCTGGTTTCTAACCATAAAAGCTTTACAACGGAGATAACTGTTGGCAAACAATAATCAACGTACCCTGGCTGATGTTAACAGTGGCCAAGGGAAGCCCTTGGGTGAGAAGCAACATTTGCAGAGCTGGGAGACGGGGCACCATCCTTCATACAGTGTGACACAGCCAGCATCCCTCCCTGGTCACACCGGGGCAGCCACAAGACCAGACTCCCTTTCTGAAGAGGAGTCTCCTGAGAGAACGCCCCCGGAAGCAAGGTGAGAGGGTAAAACTCAGCATCACTACCTCTCACTGCAGCCTCCACCCCACCCCAAATCCTGCCCTCTGAGAGCAGACTGCCCTGGGCCTGCCCCCTTTTTCCCAGCTGCTCCTGTGACCTTGGTCTGCTGGGAACCACCACTTCTCAGCAGCACTTTCTCTTCATTTCGGCTGGAACCACCCTGAAAGCACTTCCTGCTTCAAATGCCCCTCTGTCACTCACAGCGACTCTGGGCACGTAAATGGCGGCTTCCTCACCTGTAAAATGGGTCACCACTCTTTACCCTTCAGGCCACTGGAATGATCCCAGGAGGTGATACGTCTCTGCTGGGCCCCAGTTAACAGTTAAGAGTGGCGGAGGGGGAACGGGAGTCTTACTTTGTATGGTTTTCCCCTGTGGCTCCACAGTGTAAGCGCGAGAGATACTTACTACTTAAATCTATGTGCACAGTTTTTTCTCTGGTAACGATGGATATCCAAGCAGCCTGACGTGCTGACCAGGAGTCATGGCCTGGAAGTGAGACCCTGGCTCAGAAGTCACAGAGCGGCTGGGCCCCTCCTGGGCTAATAATTTAAACCTGCTTCCCCACGTCCTACCTACCCTGTACTAAAGAGTAAGCCGATGACCCCTTTGTCACCGGCTCCATTCCAGCCACTCAGAAAGGTTCAGGGAGAGGCAGATCGAGACTTCGCCTCCATTGTTTACTGTTCTAGGGAACCTCAGGGTCTGTAAGTCCCTTAGGAGCTGAGGCTCCGTCCTTACACCCCTGGTCCGCCCTGCCTTACCCTGTCCGGGGCCTGGCCCATGGAAACATGCATAAATGACACCAGTGGCGAGGCCTTGGGCAGGCTGCACACCACACGGCTGCGCTTCAGCTTCCTCATCTATAAAGTGAGGACTGTCAGAGTCGTTTCCAGTGTTTAGCACAGTGTCTGCAGACAGAGGCACCGGCAGGGCTGGTAAAATGCGTTAATCTATGTTGACTGGCGGAGGGGTGGGAGTGGAGCTCCAAGACTCAGCTCTGGTCTTGCTTCCTATTTCGAGGGCCTCTCCTGTGGGGTCTCCTGCACGGCGGGGTATCCTCTGTGACTTGCTCTCGCAGCATCCACACCCTCCTTGCACAGCACCCACCCCAATGGCAGCTCCACAATTAATGGTGTAATTAGCTGGCAGGCCCTGAGGCTCATAGGGTCGGAGGTGGGGTCTCTCATTCCGCTACATCTCCAGGGCTCAGCAAGATGCCGGCACGTAGCAGGTGCTCAGCAAATACTGCCCCCCCTCCCCCCGCTACCCGGGGCTGGCTCAGAATAACCCGACACTCTGCTCAGCCAAAGGACAGCTCCCTGGTTACTGACAATTCCTGCAAACACAGCCTTCCAGGACCAGCAGAACTGGCTCCCCAGGTCCCGTAGCCTCCTGCTCTCCCTGCTCAAGGAGTTTTCTTACCTGCTGCCTTCAGAGGTAGAGAGTTAGTCAGAGATACTGGTCTGGGGAGGTGGATTACATAGAATATCCCTTCCCAGAGAATAGACACTCTGGGGGTGTTCCTTCTACATCCGAGGTGCCCTGATTCTCAGCAGTTCTGCGTGAAGGCCTGAATGCCCATGAGAAAATAAACATGTGCTTGGGTTGCCTGAGCAGACATTCTTCATGTGAGTTGTGGCTAAGGCAAAATTCCGGTCTGTGGTTCCTGTGCTCATGAAATGTCTGATGGGGGACTTCCCTGGTGGCGCAGTGGCTAAGACTCCACACTCCCAATGGTCAGGGCACTAGATCCCACATGCGTGCGACAACTAACAGTTGGCATGCCACAACTAAGGAGCCCTCAAGCCACAACTGAGGAGCCCCCCTGCTGCAACTAAGACCTGGTGCAACTGAATAAATAAATATTAAAAAAAAAGAAAATTCTGATGAATGAATGAATGACGACACAGGTGTCTTTGGCGAAGGGGCAGGGCCTCCAGTGGGGTCTGCCCCAT